AAAGTGAGCAAGATCCTGGGCCACCCTCAGTACAACGGAAACACCATTGACTACGACTACTGTCTGTTGAAGTTGGCCTCACCCGCGGCCGAGAGCGACGGCGTTCAGTTCGCAACACTGGCCAGTAGTAGTCCGGCCGACGGCGCCAACGCCCTGTTGACCGGTTGGGGCAAAACGTCCGGCTCGTCGAGCGCACTGCCCACCGCACTCCAGGCCGCCAACTTCGCTATTGTGAGTCAGGCCAAGTGCCACACTTTGTGGTCCGATGTGAACACGGTCACTCCCCGTATGATTTGCGCCGCGCATCAATCGGCCAGTGGTTGCAATGTAAGTTTGCTAGTTTATACTTTATAACTAGTGTTTTTATTTGTTTATCCAGCTAGTATTCAAATTGAGATTGTTCTTATTTTAAAATGTTAATATTAATGATGGTTTGTTTGTTTGAAATAATGCATTAGGGTGATTCGGGTGGCCCGCTGAGCGTGGGTAATGAGTTAGTCGGTATTGTCTCGTGGGGTTCAAATGGGTGTCCGGCCGACACCACTAAGCGGCCAACGGTTTACGCCGATGTGGCCAATCAGCGAACGTGGCTCTCGCAGACTGTCGCTTAAAAGCAGTTTGGTGAATGTAGCTACAAAATAATATTACTATACGGAATAAAAATATACATGGTCTGGTTTTGGACACGATTATCGATATTGTTGCCTTTTCTGTATTAATTAATACCGGCCCTAAGCTCTGGTATATACAGAATTTATTATTTAAAGTTATTGTTATCTAGGTTTATTTTTTTTCAATAATTTGGCAAATTGGATCACTTTTTGAACAAGCATTCAACTAATCATTCAATTAATTATTTATTGTAAATTTATTTTTTATTTATTTGTATATCTATTATGAATTTGTAATAATAAATGTTAAATGTTTTTTGAATGAAACAAAAATGTTGTTATTTATTTATTTTAATACATTTGGTATGAATTAAAATGTTAAATTTAATCTTAATTTTATAAAAAACCTAAACCTTTCTATACAACCATGAAATAGATAAATAATTTATAATTATAATTAAAAATGTTTTATATTTTACCCAGATTTTTGATCATAAAGTTTGCAGAACATAATTAATAATTATGTGTGATACAAATTATACAATTCATTAAAGTACATTTATTTACTTATTATCATATCAAATAAATTATTAATTATTATTTTATTTATAGTTCAAAAATATAAAATTTTTATCTGTAATTACCTTTAATCAAAAAATATTTCAACATATTAAATCACATGTAGTAAAATTATTAAATCATTTATTTAACTATACCCAAGTAACATTTTGTACGTGCACATTTGCACTTACACAAATAACATTTACACAAAATATAATTTACTTAATCTAAATTATTCATTAATGAATTGAAATGAATTGTATTTTCATTATGGTGAATTAAAACAACATCCGTAATTAAAAATAATAAAACACTAAAGTATTGCTAAATAATGAATTTATCGCTATGTTTTTCAATTTTAGATATATAAAAATTTATTAATTTATCATCGTATAAAATCATAAAAAACATCACAATTTATATACAATAAATTGTAGAAACAATTGTATATAAACTAGGGTAATTTGTATTTACAATACAATTCTCTACAATTTGCTACCAAAAGACATTATGAGGGCTGCGATAGCGTTGGCGGTGGGCTTGTGTTTGGCACAGATTGCGTACGGTTTTGTCGAGATCTCACCCAAGTATGGGCCCAAGTCGTTGGGTCGTATGGGCAGTCGTGTGGTGGGCGGCACACCTGCCAGTGCCAGTCAGTCACCGTTTCAGGCGTCGCTAAATGCCGAGGGTTGGTTTGGTTGGAGTCACATATGCGGCGGTTCATTGGTTGGCAAACGGTCAGTGATTACGGCCGCACATTGCTGTGATGGGTAAGTAGTTTAATACTAATTAAATTAATAGTTAAATTAACTTTGTATTTTACAATGTTCTCTCTCTCTCTCTCTCTCTCTCTCTCTCTCTCTCTCTCTAGATATACTGCGGCTAAACTGCGGATCCTATACGACGGACTCGACCGGACAACCCTCAAGACCACAAACCCGGTGACCAAAGTAGACCAACACACCAGCTATAACTCCCAGACCATCGATTGGGACTACTGTGTGCTAACACTGACAAACGACATCGTTCAGTCAACTACAGTGAAAACCATTGAGTTGGTCACCACCGCTCCACCCCATGGCTCGCCCGCCCATCTGACCGGTTGGGGAAAGACATCGGGCAGTACAAGCACTTTGCCGACTGCACTTCAGTACACACCCATGTCCATTGTGTCCCGGGAAGAGTGCAATAAGATATGGGAACCGGCGGGTCAGACGGTCACAGCCCGTATGATTTGCGCGTCAAACCAAAAGGCCAGTGGTTGTAATGTAAGTACTCTCTCTCTCTCTCTCTCTCTCTCTCTCTCTCTCTTTCTTTC